GTGTTCAGTGCTCTGCTCATGAAATGATATGGAGGAAGGGGCTTTTCAGAGACAAAAGGGTCTGACTCAGTGTGTGTGAGGACCCTGTGCTGAGAGTGCAGGACCTGCCCCAGCCTCACAGGTGTGACATGTCAGGGCAGGGCCAGAGCAGGGCGTTCCTGGGCCATCAGAGGTGAGGCTCACACAGGTCCTTTGTGGATCCTAAGAAAGGAAATGACACTAATAGAGGAGATGAGAATATTTAGCACCACTAAAATCATTTGTAATAACATACATGTCAAATTATCACTGTTATTTCCCATCGCCATCTTTTAGAGTGATGCTCATGGGTGTGAGGGTCCCACATCCTGAGGGTCGCACAGCTATCAGAAGGGTACTGTGCTCTGCACCAGGACTAACTCATAAGATCACAGCCACATGCCAGGACTCACTGACATGTGGACTCTGATGGCAGTTTTCAGGGGTTGGTCAGAGGGAACCTGCTTCCTGCAGCAGAGACTTTTCCTCTGACCCTGATAACCACATCTCTTCTGCAAACCATTAGCAATATAGTTCTATTGTCAAAAGTCATGAAGTTTTTCCACCAGAAATTGTGAGGAAACATGTTCACTGAATAAAGATTACTTGGCAATGAGAAGACATGATCAGTGTAGAATATGCAGGTTTGTTCACCAAGACCAGGTTACTCAACCATTATACCAATAGCTGAGCAGCTTCCCCAGCTGTGTCTGTAGCACTGCGAGTATTTGTGTTCATCAAAGTCCTGTCTCAAGGAGAGAGTCCTGAGGTCCAGGCTGTTATTCCAGACACTCTGCTGTGTCCCAGGACAGGGCAAGAAAGAGGCCTCTGTGATTTCAACAACCTAAGCGGAAACATCAACATCACCCCAACACATACTGCATGATTGACTGGAGTTAACTGACCCAACTCCATAGCATCCCCTGAATATACTTGGATTTGGAGGTGATTCAAGTAAGGAGACCCTGACCCAAATTAGCTGGTCCAGTGAAGCTCCTCTGAAAAACAACAAACTCTGGACTGTACCCAGGTTTGTCTGAACTCAAAGTGACTATTCTATTAAGCCGCTGCTCCCTGAGTTTCAAATGTCCAAGATTTAAACGCGAGTGATGGAGAGGGGATGGAGAGCGCCGGACAGCCGCAGTTCAGAGGTCTGTGCGTGCAGGGAGGGTGCCTGGGGATGTGTCTATGCAGGTGTGAGAGTCTCACCGTGCCTCTTCCCAAAGCTGGCCCTGACCCTGGGCCTCACGGGCCCTGGACCAGCTCCTGCCACGTGCCCTGCTGCGTGGAGGGAGGAGAGTCCCGTTCTCTGTGCGCGCATCCGCCCCCCAGCCAGCAAAGAAAGGCCGGTCCCGCCCAGTCCCTCACGCTGAGGTCGCTCCCACAGGGACACCCGCAGGAGCTGGACTCACCATAGCCCGCGCCGAGGGACCAGAAGTCGCTCCTCCTTCAGGAACTGCGTCTGGAAGTCCAGGCCTCTTGTGGGACAGACCGCTGAGTCCTGCGACCTCCCTGTCTGGGCTGCGGTTCCCACATCCAGGTTCCCTGGGACCTGCTATGGAGCTGGGACCGCCTGGACACCAGGGGGCGCTCGCCGGCAGGTGGCCCAGCGCATGTGCTTGGTGCCCTTGGGCTCAACCCTGCAGGTCCCCCACACTGTGGCTCCCGCTGTGTCGCCTGTCCGTGGGGACCTCGTGGCTGGCTGGGCGGCTACCCTCCTGTGCATGGGCCACAGAGCTCAGACGCTGCACAATCGCCGGCACAGGGTTCCGGTTGTGTCTACACCGGAGCTCAGACTCTGCATGCGGACTGTGTGCACCTGCTGCGGTAGCTGCCCACGTGACAGCGCCACGCAGCCTCCCCAGCCTGACCAGGAGGGAGGTCACTGCGCCAGGAAACGCTCTGCCAGGGTCACTTCCGGTCCAGGAGCTTCCTCCACCCTAGGAGGCGGGAAAATGCGTCCTCTTCGTGTTTCTTACTGTGAATTCGCATGTCCGCTGTGTTGTTCTTGGGGCACACTGAGGGTGTGACTGCTGAATGCGAGGTGGAGTCACCAGATCCGTCTAGTCAACGCGTCCACGACCTAATGAACCTATTTCTTGTGTCCAGAACATTTTTCATTACTCTCTTAATGTAAAATAAATTATTTTAGCTATATTCACAACTGAGTGCAATGGACTTCAAAAAAATTGTCCTAATTGAGGCTTTCTAATCTTTGTCCATCACCCCACTATTCTCCTCACCCAGGCATCTGATAACCACGTTTCTATCCCCTGCTTTTATGACTTTTAGTGTTTGAAATTCCATATATATAAATTATTATATTTTAATCATGCAGCCTTTGTCTTTCTGTTCTTGGCTGATATCATTTAGCACAATGTTTTTTAGTTCTACCCATGTTCTCACAAATGACAGCATTTCTTTCTTTTCTCTCTTTCCTTGAGTGGCTTGCATTCCATTGTGCCATGGTGTATAGACCACATTTTCTGTATAAACCCATCTCTTGATGCACATGTAGGTTGACTCCACACCTAGATCACTGTGACGACTGTTGCAATAAACACGGGACTGCACACATCTGTTTGACATACTGATTTAACATGTTCTGGGGTAAATACCCAGAAGTGGAATAGCAACATCTAATGGTGATTTGTTCTCTATTGGCTGTACTAACTTGCATTTCCACCAACAGCACAAGAGTCCTCTTTTCTCCACATCCTAGCCAGATGTTATATTTCATCAATTCGATAATAACCATACTAACACGAGTGAGATGATAACTCATTGAGGTTTTAATTTGCAATTCCCTAATAGACAGTGATATTGAACATTTCCTTCACGTATCTGTGGGTCATTCATAATTCCTCTTTTGGGAATTGCCTACTCAGATCTCTTGGTCATGTTGTCATTGATTATGTTTCTCCTATAGAGTTTTACATTTATTTATAAATTACAAATATTAACCCCTTATCAGACCTATAGCTTGCAAATATTTCCTCCCAGTTTATAGGTTGTCTTCACTTTGTTAATTGTTTCCTTTCTTCTGAATAAGGTTTATAGTTTGATTCAATCCCATTTGATGACTTTGTTTTGTCTTCTTAGATTTGGGGGTTAAACCTAAAACTGCATTACCCAGATCAATGTTGTGGGGTCAGCCATCCGCCGTCCCCCAGCCAATATTCTCTTCAAGAAGTTTTACCATTTCAGGTTGTATGCTTATCTTTAATTCATTTTCAGTGTATTTTTTGCATATGCTGTGACAACAAGTTCATTTCTACTCTCTATGTGGATATTCAATTTTCCCAACATTATTTATAAACAGGCCATCCTTCACCTTTGAGTATCCTTGGGAAAAATGATGAAAATGAATTGATTGTAAACTCTAGGTGTTATTTCTTTTTTTCATTCTTTCTTTTTAAAAATAAAATATTTCTCTCTTTACTTTTTTCTTTTTTTCTTTTTTTTTTTCTACTCCTGCTGTCCAGTCTTCAGGTCTAGGTGTTATTTTTGAGCACTCTATGCTGTTCTGTTGATTGACTTATGCACTTTAATGTCAGTGCCGTGCTGTTTTATGTCCCTCACCCTGTACTATAGTTTGAAAGCAGGTAGCGTGGTGCATTTGACTTGTTCTTTTGGCTCATCATTTCTTTTACTGCTAAGTTGTTGTCAGGATTGTGTGTTATTCATATGCAAAATTACATTGAAATATTGAAAAAGATTGCATTGAATATGCAGAGGACTTTGAACATCATGAACATTCTAACATTATCCATTCTTTCAGAGTATCAATATAGGTGTATTTCCATATATGAGTGTTTTCTTTATTTTTCTTCATGAAATTTGAATAGACTTCATTGTGCAGGTCTTTCATCTCCTGGGCTAATTTATTCTTAATTACTTTAAATTTTGTGGCTATTATAAATGGGATCTGTCTCTTCATTTTGTGGAAAGTTCACTGATTGTGTATAGAATGCTACTGATTTTGCATGTTCATTTTTACCGACATTCATTATTGCATTCATCTATTAATATTGGATCTAACAGGTTTTTTGTGGAGCCTTTCGGATATTCGAGATGATGTGTACAACAAACAATGACAATTTTACTTCTTCCTTGACTACTTGTATGTCTTTTATTTCTTTCTATTGCCTAATTACTATGATAAGAACTTCTGATACTATGCTGAAAATAAGTGGCAAGAGTTGTCATTCTTACCTTGTTCCGGATATCAGAGGAAAGGGTTTCAATTTTAGTTGAATCATTTCTTTATTAAAACATTGGTATAACATTATCTGTGGGCTTATCATATATGACCTTTATTGGATTTCTGTACATCCCTTCTACATCTAATTTTGGAGATATTTTGCTTTTAATCAAGAAAACGTTTTAAATTTTGTTAAATTATTTTTCTGAATCTCATGAGATGATTTAAACATTTTGTCATACATTCTGATAATGTGATGCATCACACTCATTGAATTGCATATGTTGAATCATCCTTGCATCACAGGGATAAATCACGTTTTGACCTGTTGTCTTTCACTAATAATGTTTTATGTGTTTCAGTTTGCTGTATTTTGCTGATAATTTTTTCATGTATATTTATCAGAAATATTGACATATAATTTTATTTTCCTTTCATGGGCTTCACTGGCTTTGGTATCAGGGTAATGCAGGTCTCATAGAAAGAATTTTAAAATACTCCCTGAGATTCATTTTTTGCAAGAGTTCATGAAAGATTGGTGTTACTTCCTCATTAATTCATTAATTGTTTCGGGGAATCAACGATGAAACTATCAGATCCTGGATGTTTCTTCGTTGTGAAAATTTAATTAATAATGTCTTTACTAAGTAATAATAAAGACATAATTAATTAATTAATAATTAATTAATAAATTATTAATTTATTAATAATAATTACTTCTTTGTTGTGAAAATTTAATTAATAACTTAATGTCTTTACTCATTGTTGTTCTCTTTAGATATTCTATGTTTTCATGAATTAATAGAAATAATTCATTTCTTGTAGGTTATCCAATTCTTTGGTGTATAATTATTCATAGTAATCCACTACCATTCTTTGTGTTTTTGTGCTATTAGTTTATTATTATTATTATTTCAGAACATTATAGTGGTATAAACACTTTGGTTACATATGATGCCTTTGTACCATCTGAGTCAGAGCTACAAGCATGCCCATCCCCCAGAAAGTGTGCACTGCTCCCATTAGGTGAGAATGTGCCCCCTCCCCCTGGACCGACCCTGGTTGCTGCCTCCACATGCCCTGCAGGATTCGTGTCACTGCCAGCCGATGCTGAGGATGCTGAGCAGCTGGACTCACACTCATCACCGAGGTGTGTGTGGGGGGAATCCACAGGGTGCAGCTACTTTGGAAGGCAGATTCATTGTTTCTTACACAGCTAAGTCTAATAACATAGCCTAGAAAATTTTATTTAAGAAATTGCCAAACTGAGTTGAAATAGCAACCATTTAAAAAATCTGCATGGGGTTGGGTTGCTTCATTTTAACTTGCTGAGAACTGGAAACAACAAAGGTCTCCTTTGGTACATTGTTAGGTAAACAAAGTGTGGTACGTTTGCAAAATGGAGTATTTTCTAATTGTCCCTCCTTTGGTGAAAATAAGATAACTCTCTTTTGGCTCTCTATTCTCTTGAGTGATCTCAAATTAATCTACCAAATCTTTTACTAATATTTTCTATTTTCTAAAAAATTCCCAAGTGGGCTTTTCTTCTTGTTGGTATCTTACTTTTGCCACCAGGCTCTTCTTAATTTACACATTAATATCTAATTTAGTATTTTTTTTTAAATTTTACTTTCATAGAATATGTATTATAAAGAGCGTTTATGTTGGTCATGTGCTCATATCTGGAGATGAGCTGCAAAGTGAGAAAAAAACAAAAATAGAGAAACTTTGTATTTTCTCAGCGCATTATGAAATGTGAAAAGACTTTCAAATTAGCTGTCTTATTTTTATTTTGGAATCCACTTTTGGGTACGGTCATTGTTTTTAAGAATCTTAGATTGGTCAGTTTGAATAGAAATCCATTTAACCAGTCCCTGGCAGTAATGGTCTGACTGTCGCTCCCTGATCTCCCGACACTGGAAATTGAGTGGGAGTCCCATATCCAGCACAGGGAGGTCAGATACCCTTCCTGTCTAGTGGGGTGCCTCCTTTCCATCCCAGACATATCCCAGAATGTTAAGCACCTGCAAAAGTCACTGAATCCCTCTCTCCTGTTCTAAATCCTTCTTGCACAGCCTACACTCAGTTGCAGCCTCTTCTCAAACTTCTGACGTGACATAGATCCTGCAGGGAGGGTGACATGCATGAGGTCTTTTCTTCTATCAGCGATGGGTGTGGTTCGTACCATTTCCCACTGTTGAAGATGGAGGTCCCTGTTTCCGTGCAGAGGTAGAGCACAGCCCCAACTGGAGTGGCAGCCACAGCTCTGGACAGTGCACCACAGCCCACACTCCAATCTAGGAGAATCTCTCCACAGATCCAACATCATGATGATGGAACATCATAGAATCCCCAAACACTTCCTTCATGAGCTCAGAGACTGCAGAGCTTGCCCTCCCAAGTCAGTGCAGGAGAGCAGCTGGCCAGGGCTGGCTCCCAAATCACCTGCCCAGCCTCAGCAGCTTCCACACCTCCCAGCACTGGGTCACCAGGAGCCACTGGTTCTGCCTCTTATACCTCCTGGGACTCACATGCAAATCACCCAGGGTGCAGGCAGAACAAATCCCCCCCTCACAGGCTGGGCCAGCACAGTGACCTTCATCCTGCAGAGCCATGCAGACGCTGTGGACCCTCCTCTGCCTGGTGGCAGCTCCGCTGGGTGAGGGTCTAGGGGGCTCCAGGTGTTTACATGGGCCTCCTTGTGGGATGAGGCACACTCACTGTGACTCTCTTTGTCCCCAGGTGTTTTGTCTGAGCTGACCCTGCAGGAGTCGGGCCCAGGACTGGTGACGCCCTCCCAGACCCTGTCCCTCACCTGCTCTGTCTCTGGGGGCTCTGTCACCAGCAGTTACTACTGGAACTGGATCCGCCAGCGTCCTGGTAGAGCGCTGGAGTGGATGGGGTACTGGTCAGGAGGCACAAGCTACAACCCAGCTTTCCAAGGCCGCATCTCCATAGCCGCTGACACGTCCAAGAATCAGTTCTCCCTGAAGCTGAGTTCCGTGACCCCAGATGACACAGCCATGTATTACTGTGCAAGAGACACAGTGAGGGGACTTCAGTGTGAGCCCAGACACAAACCTCCCGCAGGGGCATGAAGAACACCAGGGGGCGCATGGGGCCACTTGTGGCAGGGACCAGCTGAGGGCAGGTGCAAGGAAGGAAATGGGGAGGATGAACAGCTTTCTCTTGCCTTCTTGACAGGTTTGAGTTCCTCCCCCCCCTTGCCCTTTTCAAATCCATGCCTGGAGGCTCCTGCTATGCATGGCTCTGGGATTTATTTCATTGTGATCCCATAAATAACCCCCTAAATCTGTTAAAATATGCTTTGGGTGTTGACCCTGACCAAGAAACGAGAGCTGGGACTGCCCTGGACGATGGCACTGGGCACGCAGACTCCAAGCAGCACCCACACAGTGTTCTCAGGATACACAAGGAAAACACACGTGCTGTCAATCCAGAGAGCTGGTGTGGAAACACACACTGGGCCGCACTGTGTTCTGGCAAGGTTAGTAGACGACATGGGGGTAAGGGTGTGGGTTTCTGCAGAACGAAAGGCAGGAGAGAAAACATGAACTTATGACGTGTAACTATTGTAACATAGCTTTGGGATAACTTAATGGCTTTTATTACCTGGTGACAAGAATTAGCCAATAAAGAGAGTTGATGACAGATAGTACAACTTATCCTCAATATAAATTAAGAGCATTTGTAATATGTTTTATAAAAGAAAGTGTGATAACATGGATTCGCGCAACATTTTGACTAACTTAATTCTTAAGATGAGCTGTCAGAGCCTTTGTTTAAAACAACTACATGTGCACTCACCCCACTTCTGGTATACGTAGCTGCAGATGAATTCTCTCCTTGGACCTGTAATGCCAGAATCCACCAACTCACCGTTGATGGACCTGTCAGAGATCTGAAGTCACAAGTGAGGAACTGAACAGGACTCCACAGAGTGACCACCCTCCGGAGGAACAGGGCAGTGTCCCCTTTGGCAGAATGTCGGCATTAGATAGCCTGTCACAGAAGTGGTGGGTGAGCACTCGGGGTCTTCACTAGCTGCAGAGGCTTCCTTGGGATGCCAAGAGCAAGGGTGATCAGCGCCTCTCAGTCGCAGTGGGTGCTGCGGATAATAGTGATGAGGGCAGGGAAACCATGGAGACATCTGTGGTGGTAACGCATACAGCTGGTGTCAAATGCAGTGAGAACTTGCACAGGTCACCACCACCCTTTTCCATGGCTGTGATGCCCTTAAATCTCCTGTTGACATTTATTTGGTAATGGGATGGTATTGGGTGTTGGGATCTTTACAAGGGGTTGAATCAGGAGAGCTCTGCCGCATGCTGGGACTGATGCCATTACCCAGGCTCTGGGTTTCTGTGGGTTCAACCACCCCCATTTCCTCTGTCTCACATTCCTTTTCTGCGCATTGGATGGTTTCCCACTTGTTAGGATGCAGCAAGGCTTCCACAACAGATGTGGCCCCTATATATTGGAAATTTCTGCCCTTCAGATTTGTAAGCGAATCAATCCCTTATTTATAATTGCACAGTCTGTGGCATTCTGTTATAGCAGCAGAATAAACTGAGACAGAAATATACCAGAAATAGGGTTGGCTGCAAAATACCCGAAATGAAGATTTGGCTTGAGCTGAGAATGGAAACAGGCAGAAAGGAATCCATCAGTCATGCTAGAAAAGCCCAAATTGCCACCCATGGAGCATTCAGGGTGATCTGGAGGAAGGCTGAAGAGGTAGAGACAGCTGAGAAACCTTAATTTTGTTGGCTTACTACGTGGTCAATGACAATGCTGATGACGATGAACTAAGTTAGATGCCATCTGACGACTGTCTACATGGAAGATGAGGCTCAAACTCGGTATATGTCAGTGAAAGCTCCCTACTTACGAGGTTAGCAGTAGAATGGCTGAATGTGTCCATGCCGAGGGTTGCCACAGATGGCGCATCCAAGAGTGACAAGCGGTAGGCTGGTTGGGAAGAGGCGTTCCAACGCAAAAGACCATTGACGTTTGCTGTGAGACTACCTTTACTGTTTATTGGAAGGTTTCCGCAAAAAGAAGACAAAGGTGAACATCAATTTGGAATTCACAGCCTGGGCCATAATAAAGTGGGATGAACCCAGTGGGTGTGAGCCAAGCAATCTTTGTCAGGGTTGGCAAGGCAGAAAGGGCGATTCCATACATTTTCCAAACAATGGAGGAAAACTCTGGAGGCATTCGGATCTTCAAGCTGCCCACTGCACCTCAGCTGCAAGCCACGGAGGAGGAAGGATGGTTTGAGCACATGGACTGGGCCCATCATGGCTGCTGCCCCAGTGCCATATGCAGTCTCTTGCCCTCTGCACCTGGCCCAGTCCCGGTAAGCACCAGCGTGGTTCAAGGACCCAGGGGTGGAGGCAAAACTACAGCTCAGGAAGGTACAGTGGGTGAAATTGGTTTGCGGGTCGCAGGTGTTGCTTTGTGCAGTGTGCACAGATGCAGGCATAGGCAGAGGCGTGGCTTCCTCTGTTGGAGTAAGGCAGTCGGCAGGGCAGGAGGAGAATGGAGAAGACACAAACAGCCCTGAACCAAACTGACCCGAGGAGAAGACAGCAGACATTGGTCTCAGGCACTGCACAGGTACAAAGTACTCTCCCCGTTAACGTGGTAGAGCACAGTGAGCCACTGCCTGCCCGCTGCTGTTCTTCCACAGACAAACAGCCAACTCGGTTTGAGGCAGCGCTGTTTTCAACGCGCCTTGTTCAGCTTGGAGCTTCCTTTCTTCTACACAGCTTTCCTTAGACTTATCCTGTTACAAGTAAGTTCCACTATGCTCATTTGTGGAAAGTCCTGGATTCCTTTCTTAACGCTGATGTAACTTGAACCTGTGACCTCCACCAGATTCAGGGATGCCACCAGCGTGTCTGTGCCAGGCAGAAACTGCTAGCTGTGGAGCTGCCCACGAGGTGCCCACCAGGCACTGCCTTGTGACCCTCGGGGACCCAGACTGCACAGTCGCCAGGGCAAAGCCAGCCTGACAGAGCTGTGGCAGTGACTGCAGCCTGTGAGAGCTGCCGTGTGCTCTGACGCCTGTGAAGTCCGGGGGATTGGGGTGCCTGAGGCTTTGGGGCTCAGAGCTCCTGCCCCGCCATGGCCCAGGAGCTGGCTTGAAAATAAGGAGATTATGGTTTTTTTCATTAAGGTTATATTCTTTCCCTGTTGGTTGATATTAGGCAAATTACCATTGATTTTATCCCGCTTAGAGTGAAATACTGATCTCTTGCTGTCTGACTACTAAATTTGGGAAGTCTGCATATCTTGTTGGCCTTATGGCTCATTGTGGAGAATTGTGTGACTCTCACGCTTCTGATTCCATATACTCTGTAGCTTTGTTTTTGTAATTCCTGGAATGTGCTAAAGATATGGGCTACTGAGATGGATGAAGCTCATTTCGCATTGTTATATAGCATAGGCACCTCCCCCAATATATTAGTCTGAAATGATCAGGCATCTCCAAGTCACTGAGCTGTGTCCCCTGGTGTCGTATGTGAATGAAGATCATATTTGAATGACTTTAGGAGCACCAGAGTTGCCTTACAGTTTCTGTGTTGGCTGTGTCAATATTTGCTCTCTCCAGCTGCATGGCTGCGTATGGACCAAAGTCTTCCTCCCGAAGCTGACTGAGTCCTCTTTGCTATTGGCTGAGCCTGACAGTGAATACATCATCCCCAGTCTGTCAGCCATGCCGCCATCCTCAGGACACCACTGTCACATGGTAGCACGTTGATTTACTTGTGACCACTCCTTTGGAGGCAGTGACTGTCCAAACCAAAACTTAGCAGCTTGTAATGTCCGTTTGCTTTTCTGCCACAGTGCTTCTGTCGAGACCACTGCTCAGTTCTGATGTGGTGTGTCTCTCTGACATCGCCATGTATGTCGTGTCAAGCACGGAATACTGTCTGTCATTAGAGATACAGATCAGCCATTGGGGATGTGAGCACATGGTCCAATCCACCTACATCGATCAGGTTTCCCGAGACAAACACAGCAGGATGAGGAAACTAAAAGATCCGATTCAAGTATCTGCAAATGTTCTGATGAGTCTGGCCCACCATTTATGGGGCACTGTTCTCCAGTGGAGGTAGCATACTCCCTAACCAAACTGCATTTAGGGCTTTCGTAGGTCATGAAGGAAGCTGCATGTCGCCAAAGACAGATGGGCACTCAGAGTGCTGTGCACTTGGTCTGGAAATCAGGGCAGAATATGAATTATTCTTTCAAACGCACCCATGGTGACAACTTGGGAAATCTTTCCTCTTTACTTCGCTATTGTAGGCTGTATTGTTAGAAGTTTGGTTCATAGGTCAGATCACTCCTGCAGTGAACAATGTGCTCCCTGGAATCCGAGCCTGGCTGAGACCCCTCAATTTGGTCTCCATGACTGTGGACCAGTCCACAATGAAAGGCACTCTCCCGCTGACAGACATTAACTCTGCTTTGCAGCTAAGCTTGTGTGTATCCATGGAGGCAGGTTCAGTCCCTCAGGCCTAGGCAGTTTCTGTGGTTTTTCCAGTGCATTCAACACTGGGAGGTCAATTGCATCAACCACATGCCTGAGGGTGGCCAAGGGACCAAGGACAATGGCTTTGCTGTGCCCAGGCCTGAGTCACTCCATCAGGGAACACAGCAACCCTCACTGCAAAGTGCTGGCCGTGTGTTAGAAGGACCCAGAATGGGAGTAGGAGGAGACACTAGTGAATGTCAAGTATGACCACAGGGCCACCTGCAGCAGTGGACACTCTCACTCACATTATGATTTCCACAAACATTAGGGCGGGTCCTGTCCCAAACAAGTGGCAGCCCCATAGACTGAACCTGGGCTTGTGTGCACCTGCCTGGCAAGAGGGAAATATAAGGACAAACTTCAGGGGATTCCTTCTTGACCCTACTCATGAGCCTTGGGCCCAACACAAAAGAAGTAGCAGTTGAATGTGACAATGTGTGAGAACCTGAGTCTCCTCAGCTGAGTGAGGTTCACTTCACACGTGACACACAACATTGTGGGGAGGTAGTGAGGACTCTGAGGCCCAAAGTTTGATGCAACCCTGAAGCTGTAACACCAGAATGCTGAAAAATACTGTCAAGTTTGCATTACTAAAATGGGATACTACAGAGGTTGAACTAGTTTGCAGTCCCACCAGCAGTGTAGGAGTGTTCCTCTCTCTCCGCAACCACGCCAGCATTTATTGTTTGGAGATTTTT